TTTTGTCCCCCCCCCCCCCCCCCCCACACACACACATACTCGTTGGATTGGTTTTGTCCTTCTCTCTCTTATATCAAAGGAACGGAGTCCAGGTGATGGAGCACTCGCCCCTCTTAGTACATGCGCACTATGCACGCAGCTGTCCTCCTCCTCCCCCGCCCCTCTTCTGTACTCTCTATATTCAGCTAATCTATAGACGCGGTAAAGATTCTCGTGGCCTATTTCGCGAGAATCGACAGATTGACAATTAGGTAAATACACTAATAAATTCCGGCGATCCCTTCAATTAGCAATTGGAAGTAGTGAACAAAACGATGTACTTGTATATGTGAAAATTGGTATATAATAAATATAAATAACTTACTGACTTGCTGACTCATATGAATATAAAGTCAAAGGACTTATCATGATTGAAATTCGAAATATTGCAAAACAAAAGAGTAATATGATTACGATATTTTCCAAACAGCTTAATTTGATCTTCTAAAAGAGAAAAGAAACACAAAATATGTATAAAAAATACAATGTACAAAATATTCTATACTTTCCGTAGAAAACTTCTTAAAATCACAGATTCCTTGGATAATTTGAAAATAAAAGAACTCATATGAAAATGCCGGAACTGTGATAGTTTTTAAATAATAGACGATCGAGCTTGATCAGTTATAGCAGCTGAATTTCCTGCATTTTTGTTTAGATATAATGTATGGTGATAGCAATGGCTGCCATCCAATACCATAATTGCTCATTTAGCACTCAGTAAGCTTTAAGATTTAATTGATTTATACTGTTAGATCTAAATCAAAATTAAAAATATGTATCAATCCTCAACCAACAAATTCGAACTAGATCTAGTGGCATAAGTACATCAGAATCCCACATCAGATTCCCACATTGAACGTGTTCAGTGGAAAAAGCGTTCAGTGAGCAATCAGCGATTATTGGTTCTTACTGTTAGATCCCTAAATCTTGACCAATTATATTGACGAATTGCTCAACTGTTGTCCAACTGTTGAGTTCGCTGAACGCATCCATTGTTCCGCTAGGATAATAGTTGCGTAAGGGCTACTAGAGAAGGGAAACGGAGCCATTTCCGCGATGAAGCCGGTACCGTATTTTAAAGCGCCTCCATATGCGTAATACATGTACCTTTTACTACATAATCAATTTTCGCTGTAGGTAATGTCGCAGTTACGATTTTGGTTCTGTTCCAAGCTAGCACAACAAAAAATAATTAAAAACCGGCAATCAATCGCTATTTATCCTCAGGACACTCCTTTGAATGATTTTCGGCGGAAAGCAGGATACACACAACAATAACAAAATATCTTTCCTCAGAGAAAAATAATAAAAATGTATACGTATGTATACCATAATATGTATGTATACCACTGGTGCCTTATTATTAAGAAAATACACAATGTATCTAATGTACAAACAATGATAATATAATTCTAGTGATATTAAATATAATATTTAATTGAAATAGTATAATATCAACGTATATATGTTAATTAATATAATTTAATATTGCATAATAATAATAAGTAATATAATAATATTATACATTATGTTATTACGTTATATATATCATATAATCAAATCATGTGTAAATATCGATTGTTTTTATAATAATTTTATTATAATTTTATAAATATATTATTAACATAATGATATAATCATGCAGTAGAACTGCTACTATCGTCGATTGACCGACTTACGTCATATTAATCTTTATAAACAATAAAATATTTATTACAATGAAAAAGGTTATATCGTAGTTTTTTAATGATTTACGAGCGCTAAAATTAAATATTTTATCAAACAGATTCTGAACATGTTGTTTATCTATCCTTATAATTTAACTTACGATTTAGCTATTAAAACTAACTGGCAGTGTCACTAATATGACATCTTTACTACTACTACTACAAATCGCAGCCGTGTCTGCCCATTATTAAGTTACACGTGATATTTTATAATCGCATTTGGTTTCGTTCAAGCACTGTCATACGCACGACACTTTTCTCTGGTAAAATGAGACAATTAAATGAAGTATCGCAACTGCAACTGAGAATTCAAGAAAAGCAGTCGGATAAGAGTGTAATGAAAAGCCGATATTTACAATGTATTATGTCACTTCGACTACTGTTACAATCGATTATCGCCGGTGTGCAATCCGTCGTACAAGTTAACAAATGTATAAATTGCAGAAAGAGAGTTTGGATTCTGGACGCGCTGAAAAGTTGGAAACGTACTTCAACGGACGTGGATCTTCGGCAATCTCCGACAAGCGTTATCATAAAATATCGACATCTATCATTCATAATAAAATGCTACGAAAGCAATAATACAATTATGCCTGAATACATTTATCCATAGAAAGCGGAATATTTAAATTCACATAAATAACTATATATTCGTTAAGATAAAAAAGATTACCAGTCCTATTATCTCTCTGTGGCCTCAAAGACTTAAATTTATTTAATCTCTCAATAATAGGTTTTACAGTTTCAGACAGAGAACTTTTTATATAATTTATGAACTTCAGTGAGCTACTTCTCGACTTAGTCGTTATAATTACCGGGCAAAGTGGATCCTTGAGCGATGTTAAAAATTGCACCCATGAGTCCACATAATCAAAACTCCTCTCTAGTTGAAATCCTATAATCACGTTTGGTGCCGTAAATAACACACTTTTCGCATAGTCATAATATAACATACGATGACAACTAAAATAAAGTTGGTGTCCCAAAGACATGCATTTCTCCCAACAAGTTTGAAGTATGCCGCAGTTGTTCTCGAATTCTGATGTTAGCCCCATCCCTATCAATATAACGACTAATTTCGTCGGTTTCTTGAAGATGTGTAAAAAAATTTCCCACGATGATAAATTATTTCTATCCATATTCCTTGCCGCTACAATATGAATAACGTAGGTATTTTGTGTCAATGCAACATTTAACAAATTTGCCTCTCGCAAGCCATAGTATGTTGTCAGTGGCCATGATAGATATTCAGTATAGATAGTATCTAAAATAGTCCAAGACGCATCTTTTCCGGGCAATACGTACGTTTTATAAAATGATTGCATATCATCTACAACGCCTCTGTCAGGAAAGTCATGAAATGTTAGCCATTCGGGAACTGAATTTATGCTGATAGCTTGTATTTCAAAGTAGAGCCATGCCTTCAGCTCGTCGCACGGGTGGTCGTCTTTAATGCAATGAGCCTCGCAATAATCAACGCAGAAACACGATTTACAAGGCTTAAGATCTGTCTCTTTATAGCAGATGAGGCACGCTCTTATGTACGATATCATCAGTTTTTCATGTCGCGTCAGCTCACGAAGTAGGTTATTCTTGATCAATCTCATGTAGTTATTTTTGCAATTGTCCCACTCATAAATGGTTCCGCCAGAAAATCCTCGCATTAACTTTTTGTCCATCAGTTGCTTTATAACGTCGCAGATCTCGCCATGACCGACGTTATCGTCGGATTGTTCTCGGTCCATCGTCATGTGCTCTTCACAGCAGTAAGAGATTACGCCACAACCACAAAGAAATGTGTTCCCATCATTCAACCGCTTGCAAACGTGACAAATGAGCGGATGGAAGAACAGATCGTCATATCGACGAACCTTTTCTCGTTGATACTGAAGACGTCTTATCATTACTTTATGTCGGCGTATGTAACGTTTAACCAGTGCTTTATTTATACGACAGAAAGAAAGAATGTACTAAGAATTCTTTAGAATTATATGTTTCTAAGAATTCTTTAGAAAGAATGTGCGAAACACTGCTGGGCACCTTGGCGAAATCAAAATTCTGTATACACAATACGAGATATTAACTCAGCAACGATACAGATCACACTAATAACATGCCCGCAATACATACTTCCTGCGTGTGCTTAGGAATTGTTGACAATCCCTATTATAACAAGAGATACACAACGAACTGCTAGCGTCCGTTACCAAATCAAATGTCGTAAGAGAATTTATTGTCGGCCGAGGAAAATATGTTTAAGGGAAATCTTTGAGAGGATATCATCATAAGTAATAATATTCAAGTAGTTTATTACAAATACAAAACAAATGAAAAAGGATGCACTGAGAAAAAACAGTTGAATCAACAAAATCGGTGCTCACCGTCTCTTCAAAGAAATCTTGTATCTATTGAACAGAAGCTACGCGTCAGTGCAACAATAAGTTGCAAAATAGTTGCGTGGATATAGTTACCGTACGTGTAGACCAAATTGCAATCGTTAAGTCAACGATACTAATCAATCGATAACTCTTCGCAACATCTGTATAATCTGTTCAATCGATCAAACGATTGATCGTTGAACAATCGATCAACAGATTTTGTTTTAATGGTATTTTATTTTCTTCAAGCAAAGTCAGTAACTCAACCATTTTTTTCTCGGCTTAAAGAAGTTGTTGAGTACAAAATTTTGTACTAAATATCGCATGAAAAATGCACATCGATCAATTAATTATACATGCGATACAGATATCTTTCGTCGAATTAAAATGATATCATACAGTAAGATACAATTAAAATATAGTAAAATAGAAATAGAAATGCTTCTAAACGACCGACATTACGATTCTCTCGATCAGAAGTTTCAGAAGCATTGCCGTAATGGCGCGCAATATGTGCACTCGTTTGCGTAACAGTTCATACATGTTTTTCTAATAAAAAATTCAGAGTCCTTCTAATACATCAAACGGTTAGGATTGTGAGCGACTGTTAATGACCTTGCGCGGCAAACATTTGTGACATGAGTCGAAATGGATAACATATTCGACGTCACAGGCAAAACTGAATATTTATAATATCTTTTATTTGCTTTCATGAGAAATCTTTATATACAATATACTTCTATGAGTATATCTTTTGTGATGAACATATATTTATAATATATATATAGTGTATATATAATATATATATATACATATATATATTTACTTTTAGAAGAATATATATTTATAATATAATATATATTTTTATTGAAAGAAAACAATAAAAAGAATATTTACATCGTGCTGTGTCACTTTCCTATCAACTGATTGCCAGGCAAAATTTGATAACTGCGCAAAATATTTCGCGAACGAATGCACAGATCAAAACAGTTGGACGCGTCGAAGGAGCCGCAGAGGTGTAAGTCACGGATCTTCAACGATCTGTTCGCTTCCTTATCGTCGGTCGATATTTATTACTTACACTGAGAAAAAAATTCGAAAAATAGTAAATACTTCTTTGATGGGGAGGTATCAATAACGTATTTGCTTATGTTGATATAAAATGTCAAATTTGTCAAATGGTAAAATATATATTTTTTTAAACATTAGTAAAACCTAAACTTTTTATAAAGTCAATTTTACTTAAATAAAATAATTTAAGTTTAAGTAAATATATTATTGGTAACTCCCCATTGAGGAAATATTTATTTTTTTATATATTTTTTCTCTTAGCGCACGATAAAAGAAATTCTATCATAAGTTATGATACAATTATGTATCAACACTAGGACTGATCAGTTAAATACTGCATGATAATTTTTTGTAAATAGTTAAATAGTTATTACGATAATAGGTATCATGTTTTAAGTCGGTTAAATACGGTCTACATCCTCTGAAATTATTTATCTTACTAAGGATAGGCTTTACACCTCCAGTCCGTTTTCGCACTGTGTTTACCATATTTTCTGCATCCTCTTTTGTCTTAGCTGTTAGAATTATCGGGCAGAGTTGAGATTTCAATGCTAGTATTAAATTTTCTCGTAGTTTTGTATGAAATCCTACAATCAAATCTGGTTCTATAAAACGATCATTTTTCACATAATTTTCGTATGACATACGATAATGTTTATAATTAAGTGTGTGGCTCAGCAGCATGCATTTCTCCCAACAAATTTCGAAGTTGCCTTTAGTGCCACCTAATTCTGATCTTAATTCAAACCCTATCAATACGATGAATAAGTTTGTCTTTTCTTTGAAGGCATGTAAAAACATTTCCCATTGCTTTAAAGTCTCTCTATCCTCGAAATCTGTGTCTATAATATGAATAACGTAGATGCTTTTTCTCTTTGGACTTATTGATAATTTTGCATCCTGCATACCATAATATACTGTCAACGGCCCTGACAGATAATCAGAATAGACGGTATCTAGAATGGTCCAAGGCGCGTCTATTTCAGGTAATAAATATGTTTCATAAAATGAAAACATGTCATTAATATTGCTTCTGTCAGGAAAGTCATGAAATTTTCGGCAGTATTGCGGAATAGGATATACATCGATAGCTTGTATCTCAAAATAAAGCCATTCCTTCAGCTTCTCGCATTCGTGTTCATCATTCTTTAATTTCTTGTAATGAACTTTGCAATAATCGACGGTGAAACACCGTGGACAATGCCGCAGGTTATTCTCTGCGTAGCAAACGCGGCACCATCTTGAAAACATTATCATCTCTTTTTCGTGCCGGTACAATTTGCGAGATAGCCGTTTCTGTACGGTAGACAAGCGTTTAAGCTTGTAGTCGTGCCATTTGTTTATATGTGATTCAGTAAAGGTCTGTACACGTTTCTCTTGAACAAGTTTCTTGTATATCTTCATAGCACTACAGAACTCCTTGTGATCAAGATGATCCTTATCCAAATGCTCTTTGCAGCAGTAAGAAACCATGCCGCAGTCACAGGAAATCTTACGATTGTTCAGGCGCTTGCATATGTGACAAACGATCGGATGGAAAAATAGATCTTTAGGAAAAACAGGACTTCTACCAACAAGCTTTTTTTCTTGATAATCCTCGTGTGGTGAACGTATGGATGATGATTTACTTGTCATTGCGGATAATGTTTTACTTGTCGTTGACATGATGAATTCAAACACAGTACGCGAAACTTAGCGGAATCGATAATATTCTGTATACGTAGTATATGTAGCAGACCTCAACCCGACAACTATTCAGACTCTGATAGCGCGTTCAGACAATAATAACATATTTAAATATATTTCCCCTACTAGCTTGAAAAACTTGACGGTTCCTTCTGTATATTAAGAGTGATTACATCGAGTGTTCGGCAACGAGAAAAATATCGCAAGAGAACTTGCCTACTTAAGTAATTGCTGAAATATTATTTATTTATTATTTATAATTTATTAACTTTAATTTTTAAATTATTTAATTTATAATTAATTAACAAAACTTATTAACATTCGACAACGCGATTATTCAATTATCACATATGTGCGACACAGGTGATATTCTCTTTCTCGGGTAAAATGATACAATTAATTGAAATAAAGTCGCTTCTAAATGAGCGAGAGAGATATTGCTATTCTCTCTGTCGCGAGGAACATCGCCATGACCCTTACACGGAATATTTACATCCGTTCGCACGACAGTTGATACACGTTTGTCATCAAATGGTCACGATTGCGTGTCTGTATACACTATTTTGTATGATAATCGTTGTTGGCAAGATTTCAGCCGAAGTACGAGAACACTGTACGAGATATCCAACTAGATATTGTCACAACTAGAACAAACACGTTCAAAGAAACAACACAAATATCTTTATTATATTTTTATACTTCATAATTTTATTATATTTTTTATTATACAGAGTATCTGACAATTACTGATATATCCGTTGTGCAGAATTCATAAAACTGAACACAAAACTCGTCTACCATTTCACAAACAACCACGTAACATTATAAATTATTTACTAAAGAAGATGGTAAGTAATCACGCGATGGATGAGCTATGATAGCAGCGTATGCAGCTATAATGCTTTCATGTGCTTGTAAAATAAGTCAAACTGATGAAAAATATCTTCTACCACTTTGCAAATATCCACATTTACAGGTGTTGCTTATCACATGATTGCTTAACCATCTGCTGTATTGCGTGTGATTATTTGCCAGTTTTTTTCAATTAATGACAAAGTTATGTAGCTGCTTGCAAATTATATATATATATATATATATATATATATATATATATATATATATATAAACCGCTGTGCGAATGAATTTTGAGTTCAAAGAAGAAAGACTTTAATTCCGGACTCGTCAAAGATGACGTAGGATTGAAACGCACGGCTACTCGGCAATCTCTCTTCGCGTGTCACATAGCAAGTCCTATTATTTATAATAGTATGTTACAGCACTAATGATACAATTATACATTGAACAAAAGTTTGTCTTAAGCTAACTTCGTATAAATAATTAAATGTTGATTCTGATAAAAGATACGTTGGTTCATATAGTCTTTGTGCAGTTTACAAGCTTTAAATCTATTTGGCCTGTTAATGACAGGTTTTACATTTTCATGCAGGGCCTTTTGTATTCTCTTTGTGAACCGTCTTCCGTTGACTCTCGATCGGACCGTCAGAACTAGCGGACAGACCGATTTCTTTAGCGACGCGAAAAAATTCTTCCATGTCTGCCCGTTAGAGAATTTTACATGAAATCCTACGAGCAAATCTGGCGCCTTATATGACGTGCTACTCGCGTATTCGTTGTATAACTTACTATGATATTCGACGTTAAGCGTAAGATCTAAAGTCTGACATCTCGCGACACAAGTCATGAGTTGGCCGGAAAGATTCTTTACTAACTCTTCTTCTATTTCCGACCCCACCATTATAATTAACAGTTTCGTTTTTTTATTGAAAAAATGTAAAAAAATTTCCCAAGACTGCACATTGTCTATATCCACTTCAGTTGCCTCTATAATATGAATAACATAGGAGTCCCCCGCGCTTGGTTCGTCTTCAAAGAGATTTGCAAGTCGCATGCCGTAATACACTGTCAGCGGACCTGATACGTAATCGGAATAGACAAGATCTGGGACATTCCATTGCACGCCTTTCGCAGGTAACATGTACCTTTCATAAAACGATTCGATGTCGTCCACTTGTTTGTCCGGAAAGTGATGCAGTGGTCGGTAGATTGGAATGGGATTTACATTGATACTTCGCATTTCGGTGTAGAGCCATTCCTGCTGCTTCTCACAGTCGTGTGGAAATTTGCTGTTACGATGGGCCGCGCAGAAATCAACGCAGAAGCAAGTCGTACAAGGACTTAGATCTGTCTCTTCGTGGCAGATACAGCACGATCTCGCGAACAATAACATCTGTTTTTCATGCCATTCTAGATTGCGCGATAGGTTCTTCTGGACGACTTTCAAATACGTCATGTGGTGTTTATACCAAGGTTTGTTCCTCCTCGGCCTACCCTCTCTCCTCAGCTCTTGCCGCCATCTATTATTTTCAAGAGAATAGTTTCGTATTTCCTTCATCGCAATCAGACTCGTTATCACCACGCAAATCTCGCCGTGACCAAAGCTCCCGAGGACTCGGCCTCGGTCTATCTCCAGGTGCTCCCCAGAGCAATAAGAGAGCATACCACATTCACAAGGAATCGTATTTCCATTGTTCAGCCATTTGCAAACGTGACAAACGATCGGATGGAAAAACCGTTTCTCATAACTACGATCTATATTTGCTGCAATTGGAATAGCCAGCTCGGCTAGTTCGGCCAGTCCGGCCATTATTGTATATCAATATAATTAACGTCTGATTAATGCTTTTATATATATGTGTGTGTAGAAACAATGCACGAAACTCGACACCTTTGCGGAATCGATTAAATTCTGTATGCACAGCAGTAGACGTCGACTCGACGACTGTTCAGAAGACACTAATAACTAGAGATGGGCGATACCGATACCGATTATAGCTTATAATCGATTATTTCTGTTCGATGTCCCGTTTCTAGCCGAGCGCGAACTTCGGGCGCGATCGCCCACTCGCCGTCCTCGTCGCGCCAACCGCTGTTGCTCGCTTCGCCATCTCGCTCGCGCTCGCTTATCCGCCCGTCTGTCATTGTATCTGCCAGAGATGGGCGATACCGATACCGATTATAGCTTGCAATCAATTATTTCTGTTCGATATCCCATCTCTACTAATAACGCGTTCACAAATGTTTCCTGCGTCTCTTAGGAATTGTTGGCAATCTTCGTCGTAATATGAAGGATCCCAGATAGCACAGAGAATTCAAAAAGAATTAAGTCGTATGTCACCAATTCTGAGTTCATTTTCAGATGTAAAAAGAATTCTTCAGAGTTCAGTTCAGTGAAAAGAATTCTTTTTGTATAAAATGAACTCAGAATTGGTGACATACGACTGAATTCTTTTAGAGTTCTCTGTGCTATCTGGGATGCGTTCGGGGAGCAACGCTATCAGCGCTATTTAGCGCTAACGCGTCATTCAATCTTTCTTGTACTTTTAGAAAGTGATCAGAATATAATCATTGGCGTTGATAACGCGTTTTTTGAGCGTACCTGAAGCCTAAGAGCGATCTAGTAGGCATTTTTCACGGAACGGCGATGGAGCACCGTTCGATTTATCATCTAAACACATTATAGATGTGTTCTTTTTCTCTGAACTAATGTATACTTCCGGAATTTGAAAGAAAAATAAGTACATATTGAGATTTGATGGAATTTATTATGAAGCTTTATCACAAAGATTCAATATTCAATGAGTACCAAATGGTAATCATTAATTGTTTTTCAAGGGAAAGCGCACGTGTTTTCACTCACAACATGTATATTATTACTGTTTTCAATAATATCAAATTTTGCAAGCAATGGTTTAAATGTATTCCGTGTTATTCGGAAATGCATCTTAAATATTTTATCTTAGAAACGAAGAACAATCTCTTCTGCATATTGATAAGCTCTTGCAATTTTTTAAATTCGATCTTTCATCGTCATTATTGTCAAAAAATATATTCTACGCAAAATTAAAAACAAGACTCTTTGATAATTCATTTTGTCCTTCAACTCAAATATAGTTTTAATTATTAATAATATTATTCTTTCTATGAGCTTAACGTACCTCTAATCCAATTATAATTTTTTTTCTCAGCTCGGCGGTTGATGTGATCAAGCTCGTTGTCTGTTAAACTCGCATCTCAAAATTACGATATCGAACGTAGGTAAAGTGCGTGTAGCACGGACATACACCAAGCGATGATATTATCAACAGCGTTGGGAGTATAGCGAAATAATTGTCTTAAAAATATGCGCAGATGACGTATCAGTGCTCCATAGCTATCCCCCGAAAATCGCCGCTCTCAGGCTTCTCTCTGGTAAGACAAGTATCCGCCGTCAAGTGAAACATCGCAAGAAAATTTGAGAATCGTGCACAGTAAAGGGTATATTTCGAAACTAATCATTGAAATATGGCATAGAAGTAACACAACGATCAATCACAATCATATACAACACGAGTACTTCTTCGGATAAAATGATACAATTAAATGAAATGAAGACACTTTTATACGTACGATATTAAGATTTTTTCAATCCAAAATTTTAAAATATCGCCACGATCTACATACAAAATATAAAAAAATCGAAAGAGCTTAACTCTGGATTCGTCGAAGAAGCTGTAAAGCCGCGCGAATCTCTTGGCGTGTCTTACAGGAGTTGACGACGGGACGCGGGACAGAAGGGGAGGAATATCGTCGCTCACACCCCGGGTGATGAATTCTCTCGTCACGCTCTCATCGATGCTACTCATAAACTGTGTTTATTTTTCTCATTAATGTATATTATTTATTATAAATAAGTTAGAAACATTGATTTCGGGTTTGGTAGGTGTTTACAATTTTATACACAGAGGAAGAATACCCAACGTATTATGTTCTTGAAAGGGTGGTAGGTGTGTGTATCGCCTCCGCTCGACGAAAGAGAGATGATTTACAAATGAACCTAACAGCCCTCTCAAGGTGCTCGAGGAGACTCTCATACGTCGTCTTGCACTCACCGATTTCTCGATTAGAGTTGTACAAAGCCTATAATGTTTCGCAACTGATCTTCTTTTCCACCTCTCCCCTTTTTTATCTTTCGTTTAAATAGCTCTCTCTCTCTTTCTCCTTCCCTCTCTCTCTTTCTCCTATACGCATATTGAAATCGCTCCCTCACATCGTCTCCCTCTCCTCTACTCTCCTTCTACTATACTCGTTAACCTCTTTCTTTTCACCTTTCTCCCACACACACGTACACGTGAGTGCACGCAGGTGCCCACGCAATTGCACAAATACGCATAAATATGCACGGTGACACGCATACACGAAAATACACATACGCATAGACAGCAGACACGCGCGCGTACACACGCATACATACGAACATGTACACATACGCATACACAGCACACAATCTCTCTCTCTCTCTCTCTCTCCCCTCCCCCTCTCTTTCTCCTTCACTCGCTCTTTCATTTATGCTATCAATTTTTCTCACTAGCATCGTTTTGCACTTCGTGTCCTGCACATGCGCTATCTGTCCTTCCCTCTCTGCCATCACCCGTTTTAATCACGCGCTCTCTCACTGAAAACCAAGCAATGTTACTATTATGATAATAATTATTTGTTATTATTATTTAATTATTATTACTATTATTATTTTTATCATTATAGTTATTACATTACGGTAATTATAATTATAATTATTATGCAATATTTGTGATAGCTTTATATATATGTATATGTATATATATACTTTATCCAATGTATATATATACGTATGTATATATATGTATAAATATACATATATATATATACTTCTTTTTTCTTTTATATAAACTCAGTGTTTCAACCAAGGTGGGTCTGACACAACCAAGGTATATGACACATGCTGCCCGGGGTGTATAGTGTAATATGTGTGTGTGTGTATATGGTGTGTGTTTATATGTGGTGTGTGTGTGTGTGTGTGTGTATGTGTGTGCGTGTTGGTGTGTATGTGCGCGCGTGTGCTGCAACACGGCGCCGGAGTCCGGCGATGTTCGGGCTGCGTCATCACACATCGCACACATCATCATCTCCTCGCACACCTCATTATCATCATCATTTTCATCATCATCATCATGGACTTATGGCTGCGTCTGGAACATCACGTTCCAGGTCGATACCGCCATCCTGTACAAGGTAGTTTTTTTTTTTATACTCGCGCAACGTACTCTCCGTAGATTCGCACGCGGTTGCTCGCGATCTTCATCTCCTGTCTATATCTCACAACGCATTTTTTTACTCTTGCCACCCCGTCGCCGTCCCGCCGGTCTTCGACACGAGGAACTGTTCGATGAGCTTCGGTTACGTCGCCGTCTTCGTCTTTACACGTCCTTCGTGTCCCCAAATCTGAAGAGAACTGTCGCAAGATTTGGTTTCCTGCTTCGAAGAAAGCCTATGGCAAAACTGTCCCCGCGAGATTTCTCTCTGATTTCCCGTCGTTAATCGATAAAAAAAAGAGAGTGAACAAGGTATCCTCTCGTTTGCTGTTCCTCGTCGCCGGAGAAGAAGACGAGGAGGTGATGCGACAAACCACTGCGGCTTTGAAGCGACCGAACCTCGTCGGAGAGTACGAGCAGCGGGCAGCGCGCTAGCCAGCATATGAGCGAGCGCAGGCAGTGAGCAGTTCATACATACGTACACTGTATAATGTAAATACGAGACGAGCGAGGGCCATGTAGCCACCCTCTCTCACAACTTGAAAGCCGGGTGGAGCCATGACCCTGGCTGCGCGCGGTAGCTGTGCCGCTGTGCGGAAAACGAAAACCCGAGACGAAAACTGGTGGAGGAGCTCGACGAATTCCTGCCCGATTCGTCGTTCTCGAGAGACGACGACGACGACGACGATGGCGACGACGGCGACGACGACGACGATGACGACGACGACGACGAGGTGTGGCACACTCCGCGATTTTGATGATATTGTCTGTCTTCGCGTACAACGAGAGAGACCTCGTCCCCGAGTAATTTCTTCCTTCGTCGAGCCGAGAAATATCTCAATTTTTAGAAATTTGTCTTTACAAGTCGAGACTACTACTAGTCCTCCTTCTTCTTCTCCCCCTCTTCGTTCTTCGGGAATTCGTCTTTGCAAGTCGAGACTCCTGGTTCTCGGGGAATTCACCAAAGGACACCGTTGCGGACGCCCTCGTGGCGAATTGCACGCGCGCACGCATAGTCGGCAAAGAGAGGAGACGGCAGAGAGAGATGTCTGCGGGCTCCTCCCGCGCCCTTAATTACCTAAGTCACATCTAACAGACGCAGTTTCTCGCGTTTTTCTGCTTCTGCAAACGCGAAGATCTCTCTCTCTCTCTCTTTCTCTCTCTCATACTCACACACACATACATACACTCACTCACTCACTCACTCACTCACTCACTCATTCACTCACTCACTCACTCACTCACTCACTCACTCACTCACTCATTCACTCACTCACTCATTCACTTACTCACTCATTTACATACTTACTCACTCATTCTCGCCCTTTATCTTTCTCTTCCTTTCCCTTACTGCTATCAATATCCTCCATTCACTCACTTTCATTCTTTCTCACTCACTCACTCATTCATTCATTCATTTCTTCCTCTCTCCTTCTCTCTCTCGCACTCTATGTTCCATTCTCTATATCCTCTATGTTCCATTCTCCATATATTATATATAACAATATTTATACGATGATTCTTTTTATGGATTCGAGTCACATGCAGAAAGAACTTTGAGTTGTTTCTGGCACAGATAAAAGGGAAGAAACAAAACACTTTGGTTTTCGCGTAACTTTAAAAGGGAAGAACGTTGATAATTTAGCATTAGTATTAAAAATAAAAGAAAAAAAAAAGAAAAAGAAAGAAAAAAAGGTAAGAGAAGAGAAAATAAGAGAAGAGAAACGACAACGGGAAGACGAAGAAACGAAAAGGGAAGAGAAAAAAGAATGAAAAGAGAAACGAAAAATCATCACCACACTAGTAAATGGCACTAGAATTGCTCTCACTTGTGTCACCGAATCTAGTTAGCGATTAAAAAGCCCATTTTTTCGTTTCACTCGCCTCGCCGTCTCGCCTCTGATACGGTTTCTTTCCCACACGTTGAGATCTCTTAGACTCGGGAGACGAACACAAGACGGACGCGCCATTTTAAAAACGCGCGGCACAGCCGCGCCATGCGTGTCACGCCAATGCGCAAAGACGACACACGCTTTTGGTCGACGTCTTCGTCGCGTTTTCATTCATTCATTCATATATATATATATATATATATATATATATATATATATATATATATATATATATATATATATATATATATATATATA